TGACCTTGCTGACTTCTCTAAGACCCAGTTTTGGTCAGCTACCCAATAACTCCTCCCCTAGCTCAAGGTAACAATCATGTAACACTCTCAGAGTGTCGCAGTGTTATCAAAATTCCCTGAACAGTATACTATGCTAAAGAACACTTGATTAAAGCATTTAAATAAGTAAAACCTTCTATCGTTGCTAGAATTTCCAGCTCATGGTGAGTAGCTCCCACTCAGTGGAGAATTTATGTGTCAACAGTCACAATACGGTGAAGCACTAAATAGTGACATTTCTACCAAGACCTGTAGGGATCAGGGAGAATAAAACAGGGACTAGTTAAAGAAAGCTTATCGGAGTCACCGACATTAACATTGAGCCTGTAGACTGGGTAGAGAGAGATTTGGATAGATGTAGAAAAGGTATGGAGACCTAGGCAAGGGGGCGATGCTCCTGGGAACACAGCTGCAGGAGGGGGATTGGGAGAAATCCGGCAGTGGAGGGTTTTAAAGTAAGTCCTCTGACACTGGAGAAAAGAGGAATTCATTATCTCATTAAAAGTACCTGGCTGGCACAATAGCGTGGAGCAGAGCCCCGTGAGGAGGAGTGGACTGGGAGTGGTTAGGGGGAAGTGGGGGGAGGGGGGAGGAGGCAGGGAGGGGTGGGAGGGGAGCACTGTAGTTAGAATGTAAAATAGAACCAAAAAAAAAAGTATCTGGCAAGAGGAGCACCGTATGGTGAAATAAGTTTTGCAGCAGCGGGTGACATACAGAGGGGAGGGCCCTGCATGGCCATGAGGAGAGTTTGCACATGGACCCTGGCTGCAGATGAGGGAGAAGCCTGTCATGTTTCGGGCTCAGCACACAAAAAACAATACCCGCAAAGGATGGAGAAGACCTGAGGCCCTCAGTGAGCTGATGAGGCAATGGTCACAACCTTCTCTTTAGTCTTTCTCTCGTCTGCTTTGAAATGGGTGAGAGAAGGAAGTTTCGATCTTCTAAATTAAAAAAAAAAAAAAGGTAAACCTAGACGTTTTACTAGGGAGAATTCATCTGTTTTCTTACCTGAGAAAGTTGGCAAAGTATATAAATGTTGAAGGGTGTTTCTCCTTCTGTTTTAGGTCAGCATTTGATGTAGCTCACACCTTTTCCCTTCTTTTGGATATATATATATATATATATATATGTGTGTGTGTGTGTGTGTGTATGCATGTATATGTATATATGTATATGTATATGTGTGTATATATGTTTATATATATGTATATGTGTGTATATATGCATATATATATATATATATATACAAACATATGGTAGAGATTAAGAAATAGGCAATGATCTGAACAGTTCCAGCAGTTTAAGACCCTGTGTCAGAGATGAGCCAAGACTTACTGATTATTGGAAGGGCGTGGGGCTTCATAGAAACTGCTCTGTTCCTATGAGAAGCATTGTTTAGAAATGTTATTCATTTGTCTGTGACTTCAATATAAATCATACACCTATATAGATGTTTGTGAATAAATTGCATGTATGTGTACCAATGTATCTGAAACATGAGTAAATATGTGCACACACAGAAGAGAACATGGAATATGTGCGTTTCGTATCATTTTCCTCAGGATGCTTCATTCAAAGGCGATTAAACAATCTTCGTAGCACTTGCTCCACAGGGAAATTTGGTTGTAAGGCAGCACAACTCACATGATCTCACCCTGAACATTGTATAATATCTTCCAGATCCACGTTGTCTCCAGATCAACCCAGACCATGTTTGAGTACCAGATGTTTTATACCCTTCCTCTTCCCTCCCCGTTCTTCTCTTTCAAGTATCTGACATGCGATCCCTCTGCTCTGGATCAGGAGGGTCACCTGAAATGTTGCCAGCGTATCTGGTTTCTTGACATTATGATTATGGAGAAATTGATGCCATTTCCATTTCTAACTCTAAAATAAACAGAGGGAAGCAGGGCCTGGGAGACTCAGGTCGTGGAAATGTATGCTAGAGGTTACAGTTATGGCTACTTAAAACGTCTTATTCTTGACAAGTATTTCAATAGAACTACTATAGAGTGACTTATTCTTTTAGAGGACCTTGACGGGTAATCTCAAAGCCCAGCTATGATTTCTCCGAATATAGTCAATCCAGAGGACCTGTTTTCTTGGACATAAAGGAGAAAAATTAATCTGTCATATCCTTCTATTGACAATGGCCAGAATGTGTTGCTAAAATTATACGAAGTAGACAGCTTCAGAACTTGTGGCCTTATGACAGACATGTGTTTTTAGGCACCAGCTGTCGATTCTGCAGGGCATGCCATCACGCATTGCTGGTGAAATAACAATGCTCGGCTTGGCAGAACTGCTCAGTGTCACTCACAACTGGTGTTGCTTGTGTCCTATAGGTACTTTACAGACTGAGTTCCAAATGACTGCAGCCTGCATGAGCTGATCATACACTCCTTCCCCAAGTGGTCGTTTTATATTTACCAATCTAGACTTGGCAGGTTGACGTGGCTAAGAGAAGACAAAGTTACCCAACATGTGATTTACAATCATAATTTTAGATTAAAAAAAGGTTGGAGTCAATATGATTCAATCTTTTCATGACCCAGACAAAACCCAGAGGAGAAAAATGATTTCAAAAATCCTTGAACATAGCTGACGACACTGTAGAACCAGATCACAGTTTTCTTAACTCTTCTTCAACGGTCTTTCTTCGTTTTCACAGTTCTCTGTTTTGTTAGTTCTCTAACTTTTACAATAATACAGTTTTCATATTAACTGGTGAAGCTCTTACATCACTGTTAAATATAATCGTGCAAAGTTTAATGTTCCTGTGACTCCAAGGATCTGGCTTTCATTGTCTAAGTGGTCAGTTTGCCTTAGCAGACAAGGAATTAACTCTTAGACCCCCTTTTCCTCTCTTCCATCTTATCCTACATAGCCCTGTGTCCTGAGTATCATTAGATAGCATCTTCCTAAAAATTCTTTATCAAGAGTTCTCAAGAACAAAGAGCTGGGCAGAAACAAGCCTGTAAGACATGGGTGTCCAAAAATAATGATCATCGCCAGGAGTGAGTGGCGAATTGCCTTTAATGCTAGCACTCGGGAGGCAGAGGCAGGCAGATCTCTGTGAGTTCAAGACCAACCTGGTCTACAAGAGCTAGTTCCAGGACAGACTCCAGAGATACATAGAGAAACCATGCTTTGAAAAACCAAAATATAAAATAATTAAAAAGAAAGAAAGAAAGAAAGAAAGAAAGAAAGAAATGATCATCTCTTGTGAAAAGGAGGACTCTGCCCACTTGGAGTGGTCAGTGCTGTGGGCAAAGAGAAGGGAAGAGAAAGGTGAGAATTCTGAGTGTTGGGTTTCAGGGAATCCTGACCAGGGAGCGAGAGAAAAAATGAAAGTATGTATGTAAGGAAAAAAAGTTAGTGTCAGTCTAGTTCAGTTCCTTCATTATTACTACTGCATGTAGCACATGTATCTTTGTGTCTCATGATTTCAAGGATCTCTTGTTTAGCATGTCATTTGGGCAACCATAATGTTGAGATGTCATGAATGCAGCTTTTTTTTTCGTATCAAGATGGTACTATCCTGCAGCAAGCATCTGGCCCTCTGACTTTTACAATCCCTCCTCACCCCTCCCATGTTCCCTGAGCTATATTATAGATGTTTCATTGGATTTGGGTACTCCATGGTCAATTGTTCTCTACAGTTGTAGACTTCCATAACAGTTTCCATCTCATACAAAAAGATACTTCTTTGATGAGGGGTGAGAGACACCATTGTCTATGAGCATAAGGTTATACATTTAGACTACAGTTAGATATTATACTGGTTTAGGGAACATGGCAGTAATAGGCTTTCCTCTAGCATCTATGATCTCTTAGCTGTAGATAGTTGTTTGGTTTACAGTACCAGGCATAAATCTCTACCCATTGGGCAGGTCTTAAGTCCAAGTAGACAGCTGTTCATTATTCCTGAAATAAGCGTACTGCTATTGCACCATCATGGATATCTCAACAGACTGTCATTGCAAAATCTAGATTTATGGTGGGATAAGCCTGTTGATTGCTCCCCAACGTTGGCAGCCTTCATAACACCTTTGGGTGCTATGGCAGCTAGTCCTCAGGGAGGAGGCCTCCAGGTAAGTTCTAGAATGTGTTGACATTTTGATCCTGAGCAAATTCTGAAGAGTTTTCATCTTCCAATGAAATCATCTTTGTAAAACAAAGAGTAAGTCAGGCAGTGGTGACCACACCTTTCAGGCCAGCACTCAGAGGCAGAGGCAGGTGGATCTCTGTGAGGTCGAGCCCAGTCTGGTCTACAGAGCAAGTTCCGGGACAGCCAAGGCTACACAAAGAAACCCTCTCACTAAAAACCAAAAATAGAAAGAAAAAGAAAGAAAGACAGACAGACAGAAAGGAAGGAAGAAAGAAAAGAGAGAAAGAAAGAAAGAAAAGAAGTACAGTGATGCCTGCTTTGTAAGTGTTTTATAAGGTTCTGCAAGATTTTTATTAAATAGTAAGAATAATAGAATACTGTCTCGGGTATTCAATAAATATCTGTAGCTGCTTTGATTGTATTTTTATCATATAAACAATATTTTAATTGTTAGTCCTAAACTCTTTCACACATTTGTTTCTTTCCAGTCTCTGCCCTTTGCCTTCTCCCTGTACTTGAGGTATCCTGCGCACACAGTGGGAAAACATATAAATTAATGAGTTTTGTGACTTTCAGTATTTGTAGTCTTCCGTAAAGCTGTACTTGCTTCTTTGCCTTTCGTGATAAAAGCAACGAGAATATAAAGTATGCTATGTGTGGGCTTGCGGCTTCCATTTACATACCTGGTGCCTCCGTTGGCTAAACAATGTGCAGCTCATAAAAGATTTGTTTGAGGGTTATATCAACAAGAGTGTCAAGTGGAATTAAAAGTGTGGTTTATTGAATTTTTAAAATTTTTTAGAATTCATAATAAAAGACTACCTTTCTTTTTTTTTCTCTCCCTTAACAGATGGGCTTAGGTCACGAGCAGGGATTTGGAGCCCCCTGTCTAAAATGCAAAGAGAACTGTGAAGGGTTTGAACTACACTTCTGGAGGTGAGTTCTCGACGCGGTAGTATCGTTAGCGTTTAACCTCTTGTGCAGTGCCCTGTGGACAGAGTGCTTGCACTCTCTCGACCAGCCGCGTAATGGCAGGGCTTCTGTTCTACGTTCATATCATAAAGTGTAGGTTGGACAATAACAACTGTACGTAGAGTTGCTTGATTTATTTGCTTTCAGATTTCTTGCCTGCCTCCTCGCAATGCTGAATATGCCCTTTCTGAGTGGCAGAGGGGTTTGTGGAATCCCCACCTGTGGACTAACTTGTCACTAGTAGTTAGCTCCGAATGGCTAACTACTAGGTACCTTTAACTACTAGGTTAACTACTGGGTACCTTTGCAGGGTACCCAGTGTGCATTGGCTGTGCCTTTAAGTCCTCCTTGTCAGGAAGTGATGCTAAGCTGAGTCACATGCAGGGGGGTGCGCATGCCTTTAATTCCAGCACTCAGGAGGCAGAGGCAGGCAGATCTGAGTGAATTCGAGGCCAGCCTGGTCTACAAAAGTGAGTTCAGGACAGCCAGAGCTGTTGCACAGAGAAACCCTGTCTCAAGAAAAAAATTTAAAAAAAAAAGTAAGTAAATAAGTAAATAAATAAAACTTTCTCTGGGGGGATAAATTTGTTAGGGAGAAACTTTCAGGAACCTGAAACTTTTGAAAGAAGTAATTTGTTGCCATTTTTTGAATGATGTGCACGTATCTGAAGGACGGAAGTAATGGATTAAAACTGTTACTTCCAGTAGATCTTGTTTTGTAGCCTGTAAATCTAAAAATGGAAACCTGCTCTTTCAAAGAATATCAAAGTTCTTCTACATACCTGCTAGGAGTCAGAGTCTGCATAATATTGTCAAGAAAAATAGAAATCAGTTATAGGGTAGATAATGGTTGTCCTGTGGCAGTTTTTTTCTTTTTAAATACTGAAGATTGAGCCCACAGCCTCATATATGCAAGGCAAACATTCTTCCACTGAGCTGTAGACCCAGTCCACTCTGAACTTCATTTGGTGACTACTTCCATACTTCATATTACTGTAGAACACTAGAATAAAATAATAAAAAAAAGATTGAGTATCTGTTATGGCTTTGTGCATACAGTGTAAACTGAAGAGAGACATAATAAAATTCGGCATATTTGTCTCCTTTAAAAGCTTGCATATTTAATAAGCCGTAGGTAATAGACAAAAATATCTTAACAAGTGATAGCAACAGAAACTTCAGTATTTCCAAAAGTAATGGTTCGGTTCTTTATTTTTTGTTGTTTATTTTTCAGAGAGCTTAGACTTTTCCATTGAGCTTGTAAATTCCAGAGTTAAATAGCGATCATGCCTGTAGAGAAATACGGAGATAATATACTGAACAGAAAATAATATCTCAGTGTTAGAAGCTAACTCCTGGTACTTCTAAAGAGCCAGAATCACATATGTTCTGGTCTCATCGTAAAACTCTGGTGTTTGCCTGGGTTCTAGCCATACACTTCTTCAGACTTCTTTCAGTATCTAATACATGGTAAACTCTGTGACTAGTTGCTACGTTGTATTGTTTGGGGAAGAAAAACAGGTGTTGGTTTGTTTTTCACTTCTTGCTTATTGAACCCAGGGATGAGGAAGGAACCTAAAGACACCCGGGTGACCATTTCACTTTTCTTTGTCTGCAGTTGACTTTGTAGAGGGGCACATCGCCCCCTGCTGGACACAAGTGTTTTCATGCTTAAAATAATGCTTTCACTTAATGCAATTCCATAAACTGCTCCTGAGATTTTTAAAACTCATTCCCAAGAGGTATTTCTGTTTATGTAAATCATGTTCATTTAGAGTAACTTCGTGCTCTGCATTATTTCTCTCCTACAGGTCACTATCATCTCATTATTTTCAAACCGTTTAAATAATTGGCCAGGCAAGAGCAAACCTTCATGGCACGAAAACCTGTTCTTTCTTTAGTTTTATCACTCAGGCCGCTTTGACAAACTGGCCAGAGTCTTAGAGTCCAAGCATCATAAATATTCGAGGGTGGCCTCCAACCCAGCTGGTGCTTGCATGGTCCCTCCAGATGATATTTCAGTAATAATGTCATTCTGCTGGCGGGGGTCCAGACACATCAGAGGATCCCTCATCATTCCCCAACTTCCATAACTGGGAGACCAGAGCACATGACATTGACCTCTGGGTGCAGCTAGTTTTCAGTATTTTTAAAAGGCATTTTTGAAGATTTGTTTATTTATCTGTTTGTTTTATGAGTATGGGTGTTTTGCTGCATGAGTATCTCCATGCCACATGGGTGGCTGGTCTCTTCAGAAGCCAGAAGAGGTGTAAGATCTATGGAACTGAGGTTCCAGACAATGGTTAGCATCCACGTGGAAGCTAGGAACTGAACTTTTGCCCTCTGGAAAAGCAGCAACTGCTCTTAACTGCTGAGCCATCTCTCTAGCCCCCTTTTGGTATACTCATAGTAACATAGTAACTTCTAGACCAGTGGTCCTAAGTGCAAACAAAGATGCCATCTGCAGACCAGAGTCCCAAGCCACTTAATCACCTCCATGTTCACAGTCAACCTTGACATTTAGGATTCAAAGTCTGCATCCCTTTACCAGTGCAGTGCCCTCCCCCCAGCCATAGACTGGTATGATAGGTACTATTGTGGACTTCTTAATTGCTTAAGAACCTTACACAGAGAAGCTTGAACCCTCTTCCAGAAACAGATGGAAGCAGATGCAGAAATCCAAGCTCCTGGAGTACAATTGAAGTGAGGGAGGAACGATAATATGAACAAAGGAGTCAAGACCATTATGGGGAAACCCACAGAATCAGCTGACCTGAGCTAGTGAGAGATCACTGACTCAGGTCTGACAAATGGGGAACCTGCATAAGACTGAACTAGACTCCCTGAATATAGGTGACAGTGGTGTGGCTGGGACAATATATGAGGCCATTGGCAGTGGGTCTAAGACCTAACACTAATGCACAAACTGACTTAGGGGAGTCGATTCTATATGGAGAGATACCATGCCCAGCCTAGACCCAGGGGTGTGGAGGTGGAGAGATGCCTTGGTCCTGTCTTAACTAGATGATGGGACAGACTTAGTAGACTTCCTTTGGGAGACATTACCCTCCCTGTGGCGCAGATAGGAGAAGGCGGGGAGTGGAGGGAGTGAGAGGAAAGGAGGGAAGGGCAACTGGGATTGGAATGTGAAAAATAAATTAGTGAAAACAATGCTATGCAAAAGAAAAAAAGAAACGAAAAAGAAAAACTCAAGGAGAAGGAGATGAAGAAGAAGAAGAGGAAGAGGAGGAGGAGGAGGAAGAGGAGGAGGAGGAGCCCTCTGTATCCTGTGTACACACTGGACCTATCCCTCTATTCCTTTCTTCATGTTCTTTGGCCTTGGCCTTTGTTGGCAGACCTCAGCATATGGCCTCTACTTGTTTATCCAGCCTTTCTCGCTCTCCTTCTAAGCATCATGTATTCCCAACTACTTGTTCCATGTTGTTTCCCCAGATTCTCAGAATTTCTTACCACATATGTCCATGCTTGGAAAGATACTACCTCCCTGCACTAGAAACGGAAACTCTTAGATCATGCTATATCACTGTTGCCCACTGTATTAGTTAGCTCCAGCTGCTATAACAAAAATAGATCTCTTGGAGTAAGTACAAATGTATTTCTCCAGCCTCTGTGAAAGCTGTAAAGTCTGTCAAGGGTCTGCTTTCTGAGTTTGTAGGCAGTCACTTTCTCACTATGCACTCATCTCACACACACACACACACACACACACACACACACACACACGATAGGGTTATCCATGTATTATATATGGCCTCCAATCCCATCAGATTAGGACCCTTTCTGTATGACCTCATTGATCCTTAATCGCCCCCTTTAACTGTCCTTCTGTTGTGGGAGTTTAGCATATGAATTGGAGGGGGTCTCCTTCGAGATCATTTCTCCTGAACACTGAGGAGGATTCAGGCTTCACTGTGCTTCACGTGCAAGCCTCTGGCTAGTGCCTCCCTTGGCCTCGTTGCTGAGGACAGGGAGCCCACCTTACACAGTCAGCCTCTTGGCACAGCAGAGTGCCACGGGTGGAGCACGGGTTCAGAGAGAGGCGAGTGGAAGTTGAGAATGTGTCATGAAAGTTATAGGAAACTCAAAATACATCTCTGTGCCTATAGAAGTTTATAGGGGAACTTTCAGCTCTGCTTGTCAAGCCTCATTTAAATAGCAAAACCTGAAAAAATGTTATAATGACTTGCTTGTGCCAGTGGGTTTTTAATACATATAATTTGTGAACCAATTCTATATGACACATGTGTGGTGGGTTTCTTTTCTGTATAACTGCTTACTACAAACTGAGGGAGTAAAAGCACCACCTGTGAGTTAACTGGGCCTCTGTCCTTACAGAGCTGGGGAGGGAGAGCGGACAGCAAAGCCGATTCTGTTCTTGGCATCTCAGAAGGCCGATATCAAAGTGTTGGTGTGTTTTTTGGTTTTGTTTTTTTTAATCTAATTTCTCTTTCCTGCTGTTTGTAGAATTTGATTTTCATTGTTGTTGGACAACTGAGGTCCCTGTTTCCTTTTTGCCTTTCACATGAGGTTGGTGTCCGTTTGGAAGCCACACACACACCCTGACATACAGTCACCTCCGCCTTCAAGTCAACAGTACTGAGAATCTTTCTGCGCCTCTAATCTCTCTGACTTCTGTTTCCATCCCTCTTTTAGGACTTGAGTGATTAGAGTAGGTCTGCCTGGACACCTCTCCCCCACTTACTAAATAAAAACCATATTTATGGGATTAAACCAGGAGTGCAAGTCTTAGGGAGGCCTTAGATTCTGCCTATCACAGTGTTTTATGCCCTGATTCTTACTAATGTTCCTCACACCCATTTTTTTTTATATGAGCAAGCATGCTTGGGAGAGTAAATAAATACTTTATCAATTTGATGGCTTACAGAAAGCAAAGCTTGGCAATGTTCTCCTAACCATCTTTTCTTCATGCCACATTAGAAACC